CCCACTGGACATTGATGTCAGTAACGACCCTGTTTAAAATGACCAAAGCCCGGACCCTAAGTCCATTTTACGTGAACAGTATTTTTCCCATAACTGTCTTTCTTTTTCATGTGCCAAAGGGCATATGTGCTCACTAGAGAGAGGAGGAGAAGGCACACCCTTCCACATAGGGCACGGTCACATCCTAATCCCTTCTCCACTTATCCATTCTGTCGGGATCTGGGGGCTTGCACAGGTACTAGGCATATTTCCAAGACACTGAGGCCAAGACTGGAACTGCGAGGTAAGCCGTGCAGGACCCAGCTCCCTCAACCACTAGGCCATCAGCCAAGCCCTTTTTTTTTTTTCTTTCCTAATTGCCACTGGTTGTAAGCACTGTTAAGAGGGAGGGAGGGAGACAGAGAGGGAGAAAGCACCCCCAATACGGTGTGATTACACTACAATCTCTCCTCCTCTATTTTCCATCCCGGTGAGATTTGGGGCCTGTACACACAATCTGCTTTTCAAGCTTCCAGAGCTGGGATTCGAACTGCACATGGCCACATGGGATCCGATTCCCTTAACCACCAGGCTGCAATGCCCTTTTCCATAATTTAAGTATCCCCAAATTTGTAAGGACTTCTTAAAGAAAAGACTGGATTATGTTTAAACTGAGAGTTGTTTGCCACTTTGGAAAATCTCTCGCTGATGGCAACCCTGCATGTAAGGCGCTTAAGTCGTGGAGTCCACGTGGCTGGTGATTCCGTGGCACGGCATTAACGATGAGTCTCTGTATGGCCACAGACAGCTGCCAGCTTTGCTGCGTGCTGTGGGGTTATACTCAAGCGCTCCCAGGTGGAAATCGATGTCCTTACACGTGCCGCGTGACTTTCTTGTACTACAACGCGAGCATTACAGAGTGCAGGCGTGACTATGCAGGTGTAGGCCACGCTGTCTACACATTTCACCAAGCCAGACAGGGTGAAGGCTCTTCATGTAACCAGTTCCCCACTGTAATATGAGGAGATTTAAAGAGCTCAGAGCTGACGGTCTCAGGACTGTCGAGCACTCCAGGGCTGAGCGCTCTTCGTCTTGACGTGTCACGTGAGAACATAGGAAAGACAGCTGGTCTTGGGGGACATCGGCCTGACCTCAAATCCGGACTCTACCAGCCCTCTGCAGGATGCTCTTACCATCCTCACCTGTAAAATGGCTATCAGTAGCATGCTTAGACCTGACCCTTAGTAAATAATGGTTGGGCTAGCCAGTGGCATGGTGACTACGGCAGTTAGATCCCACATGGACGACTGCGTGGTTCAAGTCCCAGATCCGGCAGCTTGAAAAACACACTGGGCACATGTGCGTGTGTGCCCAAAATCTAAGAGCTGAATGGAGGAGAAGGGATTGCAGTGTGGCCATACCTCCTGGGGGATGCTTTCTCACTCTCCCTGTCTGTCTGTCTGTCCCTGGGTAAGTACACGTGACCTGTAGCAAAAAAAAAAAAAAGTAAAATCATTCTTTTAACCAAATGTCCCCTGACCACAGGCTGCTTTTGCCACAATTTCTGAAGCCGAGTCAGGTAACAAAAACTAGTGCTACAACCACCTTGCCGCAGGGAAGGGCGTGCGCTCGCCAGAGCTGGCACTGCCCCCTGGGATCTCTCTGGGTCCACAGGGTTATGAGGAGCAGAAGCTTCATCCCTGTTTTACAAATGAGGAAACTGAGGCCAAGAGAAGCAATGGGCCAGCCCCAATTCACATAGTTGGTAGATGACAGAGCCAGGACTCACATACAAGACTTTCGCCCTGAAATCCAAACTTGGGCCCACTATGTTGGCTGCTCCCTGCAAGATGGGGGAGGATGGATGGGTGCCCCGCTAACCACTCAAATACCACCCAAAGAGGACAAAGCCCAGTGAGAGAGAGGGATGCGGAACTAGGGGAGAGCTCAGATCTGGGGCAGGTGTCAGGGACGGTATCCCCGGGGGGGCTAAGGCCTCACAGGTGAGGACGAAGTGACCTGATGCAGGAGAAAAGTCCTCCAGCAGGAGGAACAGCATGGACAAAGGCCAGTGGCTGGCGGGCAGCAAGTGAGGAAGGGCCAGGGAAAAAGCGGCAGCAGGAGCCAGACGGTGAGAGGCCCTGGAGGCCCAGGGAGGAGCGTGGTTCCCCAGAGAACACTGGGAAACTCGGGAAGGGTTCTGAGCAGGGCAGAGGAGTGGGCTGTAACTGAACAGGACACCTCTCTGGCTCTTTGTTGAAATGAATGTGGAAGAGACCAGAAAAAAGGTGGAGGCCAGGGAGGATCCGGGACCAGGACCTGGGCTTAGTGGAATGACTAGTACGCAACGCACGTGCGATAATGACTTCATAAACACCCAGAAGCTCGGGAAGGCTCCACACTGGCAAGTGCAGGGAAGCGGGCCTCCTAGACCACCGGGAGGAACAGCCGTGGCTACCGCCCTGTGAGTGCCACCTGGTCATCTCCAGCAAATTCCCTTTGACTGGCAATTCCACTTCCAGAAGTCATTTGAGGGATAGATATGAAAAGAACAATACACAAACTAGCCATTCTCTACAGCCTTGCTTGTAATAGTAGAAGATGGGAAACTACCTAAGTGCCCACTAACAGGAAATCTGTGCAATAAACGATCCCATATCCACACAGTAGAGAGAATCAGGCAGCTCTAGACTGCTGATGTGAGCTGAACTCCAGACACATCCTTCTTTTTAAGTTTATTTATTTTCTCCGTGAGCAAGAAGACAGAGCGACAGCAGCCCCAATAAGGTCTTTTTTTTTTTTTTTTTTTTTTTAAACTTGGCTAGAGGGTGTGTGTGCTCTCTGGATACAGAGGGAGAGAGGGAAAGTGAGAAAGCACCCCCAAAGGGGATGGTCATGCCGTACTCCCTTCTCCATCTCACCCTTCTTTTTGGATTTTGGGCATGCATGCACATATGCTTGGCATGTTTTTCAAGTCACCGGGTCCTGGACTCAGACGGCATAGTTGGCCATGTGGGATCCAGTTTCCTCAACCACCATGCCATCCACTGGCCCCCAACCGGGTCTTGACACTGCAATCCACCCCCAGCCTTGGCCAGCTCTGGATCATGGGACAACACAAGTGCCCAACATACTGAGGGAGGCCTCAGGACACAGCTGCACCACCACCTGGCCCCGTGAGATATATTCTGAAGTTAGAAAAAGCAGAGCAGAGGGCCAGCTTCGTAGCCTAGTCGTTAAGGTAGTTGGACTCCACGTGCCCAACTATGGTTCGTGTCCTGGACCCGACGGCTTAAAAATATGTGCGGGGTGCTGGCAGTCAATCCTACCTGACTGACTACAGTTTGAATCCCGGACCTGCTGGCCTGCTTTCTCACTTTCTCTCTCTTTCTCTGGTCAAATTAAACAGTAACAACAATAATAATAATGAATAAAATTGAATTAAATAAGTCTTTAAAAATATATACTGGGGTTGGGACCAGCAGAGAGCATAAGGGCTACATTGCTGGACCCATGTAGTCAATCGCAGTTCAAGTCCCAGACCCAATGGCTTAAATTCACACCAGGTGCATGTGCGTGCATGCGTGCCCAAGATCCCAAGAGGAGAATGGAGGAGAAGGGATTGCGGCATGGCCATCCCCCCTGGGGGGTGATTTTTCATTTTCTGTCTCTCTCTGTCTTTCTGGCGAGCACAGGCACCCTATGGCAAAAATCTCTCTCAAAAAAAAAAAAAATACATATATATATATTAGGGAGTGTGCGTGCGTGCCCAAAATCCTGACAGGATGGAGAAAAAGAAACTGCACTGTGACCCCACCCCCATACACACACTGAAGGGTGCTTTCTCCCTTTAAAGTCTTACCTCTGCCCTCCCCTAAAAGTAATCACCTTTATTTGTTTTGGTTTTTCCTTCCAGAAGTTTTTTATTTTTTGGAGAGATTTTTGCTATAGGGCACGCGCGATTGCCAGAAAGACAGAAAGCGAGAAATCACCCTCCAGGGGGGATGGCCACGCTGCAATCCCTCCTCCTCCATTTACCTCTCTGGACCCTGGGCACACATGCACATGCACCCAGCATGAGTTTCAAGCCACCAGCTCTGGGACTCGAACCACAGTCGACTCTGTGGGAGTCTAACACCTTAACCCCTACGTCACCTGCTGGCTCCCCGAAGTTTCCAGCTCTTGGCTACACAAACGACACTGTGTGGGATGACCCAGTACATCCCTCTTCCCAGACACAGGCAGAGCTACTCAATGAAGTCCTAGAAGAGGGATGGCCGGGTCTTGGAGTAACAATACCATAACCCGAGTAATACCAGCAGCCCACCTCTACTGGGCACCAACAGTGCAAGAGGCCCTGGCCTGCATAAGTCACTCATTTCATCTTCCCTGCAACCCCATGAGGTTGGTTACTAGTATTAGCCCGCTTTGTGGAGAAGGAAACTGAAGCACAGAGCGAGCGAGTAACCAGCCCAATGCTGCACAGCTAGTAAATGGCAGAAGTGGGATTCCAGTCAGCTACTCTGGATTTAAGGGTTCGCTTGTGAACCTGGAGGGTACACTGCCTTTATAGGCACTTTTTTAAAAATTGCTGCAGGGCACAAGTACTCATCAGAGAGCGAAAGCACCTCCCAGTGGGGGTAGCCACGCCACAGTCCCTTCTCCTCCATCTCTCCACCCTGTCGGGTTTGGAGCACGTGCACCTCTCCCCAGGTGTTTTAAGCTACTGGGACCAGGATTCCAACCCCAGTGGGCCACGTGGGACCGCCCCCTTAAGCACTAGACTACTGGTGGGTAGCCATTGTATTCATAAACATCGCCCAACTGCGGAGTACAAGGTTTGTCTTCCAATGCTCTTTTCAGCCTTTTGGACTGGCGCCAGGTGAGAGCATGACCTGGTTCAACAACAGCAAGCACAATAATAATACCCGGCACGGAATACACGAACTCGCGTGTGCACATGCATCCCGGGAGCGGGTTCAACCCGGAGCCCCTCCCTCCCGCGACGGCGCGGGGCCCACCTCGATGGCGGGCAGCGTCTTGCTGGCCTCGGTGCTGCTCTCGCCCAGGATGCTGCCGGCAGAGCGGCCCTCGCACTTGTAGCGGAAGCGCATGCCGCGCTGCTTGGGCTGCTCGGTGATGACCAGGTGCCCAGGGTGACGGTGCTCAGGGAGGCCGTCCCGCGAGGCACCAGGCGTGGCAGCCCCTCGCCCGGGCCCGCCTGCGCGCCCTCCAGTCCGAAGCCGTTCTCCTTGATGTACTCGTCGATGATCTCTGCGGGAGAGGCCAGCCCTTCAGGAGAGAAGGCTGAAGACTGACATTGCCCATCTTACACAGTGCCCCAGAGAAGGGAGGAAAGAAAGGAGGACGGTGAAAGAAGAAAGCGAAAGAAGTGAGGAAGGGCCACTACAGGGACCAGCAGTTGCCTATGTCGCTGGACTCCCATGTAATCAACGGAGGTTCGAGTCCCAGACCCGGCGGTTTAAAACTCGGTTTAAAACTCACACCGGGAGCGTGTGCATGTGTGCCCAAGATCCCAAGAGGAGAATGGAGAAGGGACTGCGGCGTGGCCATCCCCTCTGGGGCTGATTTCTCACTTTCTGTCTTTCTGTTTCTCTGTCTCTATCTTTCTGACAAGCACGTGTGCCCTATAGCAAAAAACCTCTCGCCACCCAAAAAAAAGGAAAAGAAAAGAAGACAGGGACAGTAGAGCAAAAGCTAACCACACACGCAGTGAGAGAAAGTGGAGAACGCGGTGCCGTCTGCGATCTGATTACCACGCACGACACGTGTGTGCTGTGGAAATCCATTCTGTACCCACAAGATGTAAAGCAAGTAAATGTAGTAAGATGACAAAATAGGGGGAAAGGCTTGATTACCCCCCTCCCGGGGCTGTGCCACCCACCTTCTCCATCCCATTTGCTTCCTCACAGCTTATTTGGTGCAGGTGCTGGCACGGGGGTCTCCACTTCGAACACCACGAGGGCCCTTCCCTGGTTCCTGCGAACAGCTCCAGCCTCCCCCGGCTTCTCCTCCTCAACCCCACACATCCATTTCCTTCCCTAACCACTCCTGAACCCGCCCACGCTGTCCCTTCTTACTGGGAGCAAAGTAAGGGGCACCTCCATCCCGCCCGCTTCAGAGTAACCAGAATGGCGTCTCCACCCAGCCGGCAGGTCTCCAACTGCAGCGCCACGAGCCACCCACGCTCAAGTCGGACGGCTTTTCTCATTGCTCTTACCTCTGCTATGCCCAACCTACGACGTTCCTGACCTCCCTGCCTCTGCTTCAAAATACATTCACCTTCCACTTCTCCCCACCCCCACTGCCACCACCCTGGTCCCCCTCCATCAGCTCCTCCCTGGGCCACTGCAGCTGCCAGCTCGCTGCTCCATTCCCACCCCTGTCCTGTGTCCTATATGCTGCCAGAGGCATTTTATGTTTGAACCTGTCCCTCTGCTCAAAGCTTCCCATGGCTCCCATCTCCCCGGGAACATCCTTCCCACATCCGGCCTTCCCAATCTCTATTCATGTCAGAAAAACAAAAACCAGACCCCACACCTTTAGCCTGGTATGGACCTCGGGGGGGGGAGTGGCCCCTGCTGTGCTTCCTGCTGCCCCTTTTCTGTTTCTTGCACTCATTCAGCCTGGCCCTCTTCGGGCCCTGCACTGGCTGGCTCCTTCTCATCCTTCCGGTCGCCTCGTCAGAAAGGCACAGTCTAAGGTGTCTCCCGGCTGGCCCTCTCTCCCTCTTCCTGTCAATGGCCTTCTAAGTCACCTTGTTCGTGTGTTCACCTTCCCCGAACCCCCGGCTTCAGCAGGGCAGAGGCTTTGTGTCGTTCGAGGCTGACACCCCGTGCCTAGAGCAGCGCCTGGTACTCGCCGACTCGCTGTGAGCGAGCGATGGCAGTCGTAGGAGCGACCCACAGCGACATGCTCAGCCTTTCCCGAGTGCCAGCTGCTGCTGTACTTGGGGACATGGCTTTCTTGACACCTCACGGAACAAGGAAGGCCGAGCCCCCCACCCCAAGCACTTGGCCCCTTGAGCCTCCCCACATACCTGCCTCGGGATACTCACCCAGTTCATCTGTGGGAGGAAGAGAGAGAGAAAGGTGAGGTCTGGACGGTGGTCTAGACCTTTCATCTTTTAAGACGCTCCTGGAATGCTGCCCCTTCTCCCATCCCGGGAAACCCTAGGCTCTGAGCTCCATCTCCCATCCTCCCCCTCAGGGCTGCCCACCCTTCAGGCCCTAGTGCTGGGGCTCCAGCATCAGAATATCCTCCAGCCGAGCCCGATGCTTCTCAGAACACTGAGCTCGGGATGCTGAACACGTGGGAGTCCACGGAGAAGCAAAGGGTCTCATCCCCAGGGAACATGGACGCCCACGATTCTGAACAAGTGGGGCTGTTCCCTCCCTCAGTCCACGCAAAGACGCCTGAGGGGGGTGGCCAGTGTTCAGAGGTTCAAGGAGGCTATCTAAATCCAGGCAGCCGCCTGTCTGCATCCCGGCCCGTCCCTCACCCGAAACCCTGGACCCGCCCTGCTTCCCCAGGGAAGAGTGGCAGTGATGCTGGGCCCTCAGGGAAACCCCTTTCCCTCCCATCCCAGCCCCAAGGAAAGCTCAGCCCTGCAAGGGGCTGCAGAGAAACTGAAACCAACCTCGGGCCATTCCAGACAGGACTAGGGGAAGTTCAGAGGGAGAACGGAAGGCTCGGGCTCACACAGGAGGGAGGGCTGGTTGGTGCCAGGTGCCCCACCCAAGGTGGCACACACTGTGACAGGGACCTGACCTGCTCCCGGAGCTGTCCTCTGCTCTCAGGGAGTGCCTCCAGGCAGCCAGACTTTGGCCCTCGGGAGGCAGTTTTCCTGCACTGCTTTATCTCATGCTATGAAGTCAGTGGGGTGCCAAGGTCCCCTCTTGGCACATGGGGATATTGAGGTTGGGAGAGGAAGGGGCACGTTCCAGGTCAGTGGCACGCCCAACCTCAAGTCATTTCCACTTGAGCACTTGTGCTGGATGAACCTGGGGGCCAGACAACTTAGACTCTGGGCCCCTCAGAAGCTCGCAGGCTGCAGGGGGAGACTGGGTCCTGGGCGGCCCTGGCTGGAGCTTCGGATAGGCTGTCTCAGCCCAAGTCCTTGCTCGGCTACTTGCTCAGCACGCGGCCTCAAGTCCATTACCTCGCCTCTTTGTGCCTTGGTTTCCCCAGCTGTAAAATGGGCACAGTAATCATCCTACCTCATTGGGCTCAAACAATTTTTTTAACATTTATTTATTTATTTGTTGTGATTTTTGGGGTCATTGGGTCTGGGACTTGAACCGTAGTCAGCATGTAGGAGTCCAGCACCTTAACCACCACACCACCCACTGGCCCCTGGCTTAAATAATTAAAAAAAAATGAGGGCCGACAGATGGTATAGTGGCTAAGGTGCTGGACTCCTACACGGCCAACCATGGTTCGAGTCCTCAACCTGATGGCTTACTTTCTCAGTCTCTCTCTTTCTCTCTGTCTTTCCCTGTTCAAATAAATAAAAGTAAATAAAACAAAAAATTCTTTTAAAAATGAAGTAATAGAGGGCCAGCCATGTGGTCTAGCAGTTAAGGGAGCCCAATCCCACGTAGAGGACTGTGCAGCTTGCATCCTGTCCCCGGCGGCCCGGGAAACACTGGATGCGTGAGCGTACATGCCCAAAGTCCCGATTGGGTGGAGAAATGGGAGGACGAGGAGCTGCAGCATGACCATGCCCCAGTGGGGTGCTTCCTCCCTTCCCTTCTCCCTCTCTCTCTCTGGCAAGTACGCATGCCCTCTGGAAATCAATCAGTCACATACGGGAAGTATTTGGAACTCCGTATAGCAGGTCCTCCCAAAGGCTGGCTGCTATTTGACAAGGGATTGGAAGCCACTATTTTATAGACGTCCTTCCTCTCTCTAGGCCTGGTTTGTCTTTAAAATGGGGAAGTTGCAAGGCCTGGTTTCAGCGCATAGTGTGCAGTCACAGAGCTGGCTGTGTCACCCACTGTCTGTGTGGCCTTGGGCAGGTCGCTTAACTTCTCTGAGCCTCCTCTAGTACATGTGGTCTGAGCTTGTACCTCAGGGGTTAACATGACGATTGAGGATCATACAGGTCAAGTGCTTAGCATAGGCGCTAACTGCTCTTTACCCTCCTAAGGCTTAGCTAATATTATTGTCCAGAGTCCTCTTTCGGCAGGAAGTGTTGGGAGCTTCTTTTTCTTTGGTCAAGGCATTGCTCCAACAACAGGTGTCCCTGCCCCGACTTCCCATGTAGATGTGCCACCGTCCAAGGGCAGTCAGGATGGGTCACCTGGGAGCAGATGTGAGAGCAGAAAACCAGCTCTGCATCGCGGCCTCAGTGCTTCTGCACAGGCTAGGCTAGTCTGTCTGAATGTGCCTCTCCAGATTCTTTTATTTATTGATATTTTTTGTAAGAGAGATTTCTGCTATAGGGCACATGCACTCACCGGAAAGAGTCAGGGAGGCAGAAAGTGAGAAATCATCCCCCAGCGGGGAAGCCACACCACAATACCTTCTCCTCCTTGAGCACGCACACACGCACACACACACACACACACATACGCTTGGCATGAGTTTCAACCCACTGGGTCGGGGCTTCAAACCACAGCCGACAGTGTGAGTCCGGCAACGTAACAATTACACCATCTGCTGGTCCCTCTTCTCCGGATTCTTTGCATGGCTCCCTTCTCCTCCTCTCAGTTCCTGATCTAAGTTACCTTCTCTGGGGACCAGTAGATGCTGTAATGGCCATGTTGCTGGACTCCCATGTAGTCGACTGCAGTTCGAGTCCCAGACCCAGTGGCTTAAACTCATGCCGGGCGCATGTGCGTGCATGCCCAAGATCCTGAGAGCTGCGTGGCCATACCCCCTAGGGGATGATTTCTCTCTGTCTCTCCCTGTCTGTCTGGCGAGCGCACATACCCTATAGCAAAAACCTCTCCAAAAAAATACAAAAAACAAAGTCACCTTCTCTGCCCAATTTATCAAAGATAGGCCCTAGCCCCCCACTCCTGTCAAACTTAGGTCTCTTTATGTTTTTAATTTCCTGGCATCAGATTAGGATTTGACATGACCTTCTTCTTCTTTTTTTTTTAATCTCAACTTTATTTATTTATTTAAATTTGACCTGAGAAGGACAGAGTGAGAGAGAGGGAAAGTGAGAAAGCAAGCTGCCAGGTCCAGGACTCAAACCACGGTCAGCCATGTGAGAGTCCATTGCTCTTAACCACCACACCACCTGCCAGCTCCTGACTTCACCTCCTGTGACAGGGCTTCATACCTGTCTCCTCCTACAGACTGTGAGCTCAGAAGAGTAGGAAACATGTCTGCCCTCTCCTCCTCACAGCCCCAGGGCCCAGGTGTATCTGGCCCAACATCTCCCATTCTCACTAGTTCCCCTATCTGCACCCTGCTATTAAATACCACTGACCTTGAGATTTTTTTCATGGCTCTTATTACAGTTTATAATTGTACCTTTAATTTACTGTTTACATGACTGGCTTCCCAGCAAGGTAGGGAACTCTAGGAGGTCACTGTCACTGCTATGTCCCCAGCACTGCCCAGGGACAGGTAAGGAACAGGCACACGTGGTAACTATTTATTGGATGGCCGATGTCGGAAATTACTTTCCAGGCTAGCCCTGTGGTCTACGGGCTAAGAGGGCCAGATCCCACATGGAAGACTGTGTAGTTTGGAGTCTCAGTCCCAGTGGCTTGAAGATCATGCCAGGGATGTGTGAGTGTGTGCCCAAAATCCCAAAGGAGAGAGAGATGGAGGAGAAGGTTTTGTAGCACGATTATGGGGGGTACTTTCTTCCTTTCCTGCCCCCGTCTCTCTTTGGCATAACAAGTAATAATTATTTTTTAAAGAATTATTTTATTATTGGGACCAGCAGTTAGCATAATGGCTATGTTGCTGGACTCCCATGTAGTCGACCGTGGTTCACGTCCCGGACCTGGTGGCTTAAACTCACGCCGGGAGCATGTGCGTGTGTGCCCAAGATCCCAAGAGGAGAATGGAGGAGAAGGGATTGTGGCGTGGCCATCCCTCCTGGAGGGTGATTTCTCGCTTTCTGTCTCTCTGTCTGTCTGGCGAGTGCACATGCCCTATAGTCGATCGCGGTTCAAGTCTTGAACCCGGTGGCTTAAACTCACGCTGGGCGCGTGTGTGTGTGTGCCCAAGATCCCCAGAGAAGAGTGGAGGAGAAGGGATTATGGCGTGACCATCCCCCCTGGGGAGTGATTTCTTGCTTTCTGTCTGTCTCTGTCTGTCTGTCTGGCGAGCGCACGCACCCTATAGCAAAATACAAACAAACAAACAAACAAAAAAACTCTCCAAACAAACAAAAATTATAAGACAGAGGGTGTTGTGATTTGGCCAAGATTCAGCAGACCCTTGGGCAGAGCTGAATTTTGGATGCAGGTCGAGGGAGCTTACACACCAGGAGTTCTCAATGTATCTTGGGAACTTCCTATACATGGAAATCCCCAGGGCCCAACCCAAATCTACTCAATCAGGATCCCTAGGGGTGGGGCCCAACAATCTTTCACCTACCCCCTGGGTGATGATGATGCACCTAGTTTAAGAACCACTGTTCTAGACTGCCTGATAATAATGATAATGATGCTGGGACCAGCAGTTGGAGTAATGGCTATGTCGTTGGGACTCCCATGTAGTCAACTGCAGTTTGAGTCCTGGACCCGGCGCCTTAAACTCACGCCGGGTGCATGTGTGTGCGTGCCCAAGATCCCAAGAGGAGAATGGAGGAGAAGGGACTGCAGCGTGGCCGTCCCCCCCAGGGGTGACTTCTCGCTTTCTGTCTGTCTCTCTCTGTCTTTCTGGCCAGTGCACGCTCCCTATAGCAAATTCATTTTAATGAAAAAAAAAAGATAATGATGCTGATGCCACTAATTGAGCCTTTCCTATGTGTCAGACACTGTTCTGCAAGTTTACTTGTATCCACTCATTGAATGCTCTCAATCCCCCCAAAAGGGAGGCACTTATAGTATGCCCATTTTACAGATGAGGAAAACTGAGGTCCACGTGGGGGAAGTGGTTACAGACATTCACAGTGAGGGGTGGAGGCACTAGCTGTCCACTCTAACTCCAAAGCCCAGGATGGCAGGCGTCATCCTCTGCTGTACCGTGGGGAATCTTTAAAGAGGGTCCTTGGGAAGCAGAACTAGATGACCAGTTTTACCTGTCAAGTTCCTAGCCACCAGGAAGGTAGGGACCTAGGGGGCTTATCTCAACAGGCAGGAAGTGACACAGCCCACTAGCAGAAAGCTGAGATGGACTCCAGCGACCCCTCCACACACGCAGGCATGCCCACTGCCATGTCCACAGGGACCCCTCCCCCATCCCGTCCTGTGCAGATAGGCAAGGTCAATGGAGGGATTCTCACCCGTGGTCCTGGAAACGGTGAGCGAGAGCGAAGAGAGGTCAGCAGACCCTGCAGAGGAGGAGGCACATCTTAGGAGGTGACGGAGGGCAGCAAGAGGACCCGAGGCTGAACCGAGCCCCACCCGTTCCTCTCCTAGCTCTGCCCCTTTGGACCAGGCCCGTCCCCCTTGTAGACACAGGGTCTGGCCATGCTTCTTTGCCTAACTCATGGACAAGCCCTGGCCTTTAGTTTCCGTCACTCACTCCGCCCTTCATCATGTTGAGGGCCTGCTCTTTCTCATTAGGGAGGGCATGGAGGACCCCTTCTTGTCCTCCGTTAAGATCCCACCCCATTCCTTTCTCAGGGTCGGACCTCACCCCTCGACTTTCGGTCCAGCCAGCCCAGTTCTCCCTAGTGAGACAAGCTCCACCCCCTCCTCACTCATGCCCCGCCCTTCTTGTTTCAAAACAGGCCCTTCCTCTTCTCTCAGCCAGCTAGGCCCCGCCCCCTCGCCCTTCCGAGTCGGGCGCAGCTTCCTTCTTTGGCGAGGCCACGCCTTCCCGTGACGTCACGGTACGACTCCGCCCCCGCAGGTCGGGCCCCTTCTTTCCTCCTTTGGAGTCCGACGCGGGTCCTGCAGTTCAAGAGCTGCTCCCGCTCCTCCTTCCGAGTCAGGCCCCGCCCCTTCTCCCTGGCGAAGTCGGACCACGCCCCCTTCTTTGCCTCAGGGTCAGGCCCCGCCCCCTTCTCACTCTCCCGTGGGACGCCTCGCGTGCATCTTGGGCTGGACCCCCTCAGTATTCTCTGCCTCCTTCCTTCCGTCTAATACAGTGTCCCCGGAACCCTCACACTCTCCCCGAGAAACCCCAACGCTCTTGTTGGGACCTCCAGACTACTCCAGGACCCCAGAACCCTCGCATCTCCAGCCCCACCAGACTTCTCTTCTGAACCCCGACTTCGCTTACCCAAGGCCCCCAGCTCCGGCGCAGCGGGAGGTCTAGCGACGCGGCGACTCGGCATGGCCCAGCCAGTGGGGACAGACGGCCCGGAGGCCGGCTCAGACCAAAG